TGTCTTTCATTCCTCACCCACATGGCTCTTGAGACCGTTATAATATTCACCTGAAATGTCTAGTGTTTAGGGGGAAAATATTCTACTATATACAATTTTAAGCAATGGGCTTCATTTATGCTAAAACCTCTCAATTTTCAAAAAATCAAAATGTAATCAGTACTTTCTTTTTGAAAGACAAAAAATATATATTTAAAAATAGGAAGCTCTGTAATAAAAAAGACTTCATGGAACTTTGAAATGCAAAACACCAGCACAATATTTAGGCAAACTGGCCCTCCCTGTCCCCTCTGTGAGAATGGGACGTCTGGGTTACTTATGGGGTGAGGAAAGAAAGAACAAAACAAAATCAACAATTTCCTTACCAAAACTGATAACATTTTAGATGGAAAATTTCTACAGAGTTGGCTACATGAAGTAAAATATAATAATGCTTTAAACCCCTCTTAAAATGTATACCACACATTGCCCTTGGCAATAAACCTAGAAGGGAGAGTTAAATGAATCCCCGTAACCTTCGTGCATGTGCTAGCATTTCTCTTTTTCTGTTGCTTTATTTCTAAAGAGGCTTTTCTTTTATTTCCCTCCCCAAACATAAGACAACATTGCTGAGAGGATGGTTGCTATGTGTCAGCCCAGAAATGGTTTTGCCTCAGCGATGTGTAGGCAGTCCTGATAAAACTAAGATCTTTGGAAAGGAATCATGGTATATAAATGAGATATTTAACTACGGTTTTCGTCATTCTGTCAGAGAAAAAAAATCCAGACTTCTTTTCCATACACAGTATCTCTACATTTCCTTGGTTTAGTTTGAGGTGGACTTTTGGAAGGTGCTGTGCCACAAGCATCACTTTAATGATAATTTCTTTGAATTATTATTTTATTATTTAACAGAAAAATCCAAGTAGGCAACCCAAAACCTTCCCCCAGAGAATTAAGAGGTAGGTTAGTACCACCCATTTTATTTTTCTCTTCAATTTTCCTATGCAAGAAAGATCATAGAGTCTCTAATCTTATTAAGAAAACCAAAATGTATTTCAGAATAGGATGAGAATTAAGAAGGCCATTTTCCAAATAATGTAAGAATTTCATAGTTAATCCCTTGTTGTTTCTGCTAATTAGCAGTGACACATGGATTGCTGAATCTCCCCCAAGAGATTTCACTGTAAGATCAAAGAGAAAATAGGATAGGCTGGAAATAGAAAGCTTCTATACAAAAAAACAGATGTTTTTGACAAGACAAAGAGACCTTGCAATGACATGTGTAGAAAAGATGCATCAGTAGTGCTGCATCTGAACTTCTCTGTTGATAAGAGAGCCTGCACTGTTTCTCTCAGAAAGCCTCATATTAAATAACGTGGCCCAAGTAAGATGTTAAGAGATACTTCGGGTGGAACAAATAAAATCCAGAATTAAAGCACAAACAATTACAGGAATTAAAGGAATCTAAACTATAGCAACTCCTAAAAACAGATTTTTTAAAGCCTTCCTGCAAATATTCCACACAGCTGTTTCTATAGGGTTCGTACCAGGGAAACATTCTGAGGGTGCTGACAAGAGCTTCCAGTTATCTAGCCACTCCCTGCAAGGCAGCCAGGCATTTTCCTGTTTTAAACCTGTGGTCACACCTAGGCTGCTCAGTATTGAAGTTTCATTACTCAAGGCAGCTTCAGGCTCCTTTAGAGCTGAATGTGAGCTGGGACAAAGATAATGAGCCTAGAAGGCCTGCCTATGCCTGTGGCCTTTATTGGAGGACAGTCCTATCTACAGCCAGTTCTATGTAAGAGCCTGAGGAGGCTGGTAGATGTATTTTTACCATGTTATACCCATATATGCTGGGGAAAATCTAGAGATCAACTAACCATATTACAAATGAATAACATAATTACACTGAAGAAGGGAAGAAAAGAACTCACCTAAGTAACTTTGGAAAACAATATTTTGACTGAATACTGTAAAGCTAAAACCAAAAATAATTGCACAATATTTTGCTTTAGTGAATTTATTTCCACTGTGGTATGGGTTAGCAATTCTAAAACTATTTTTATAGTGTAGTAGGATTACCCTCATAAGTAAATATAATAGAGATAATAAGAGCCATGTTTCTCAGTGTCAGAGAAAGAAGTGACAAGTGAACAAGATGGAAGACTACACTGAAACCTGTGGTGCTGGATTATCCTTGATGATATTATAAATTCAGTTATTGTACATATATATTTATATATACATATGTAGATTGATAGATACAGAAGTAAGTTACAAATAAGGAAAGGGAGAATAACATGAACCTTGTATTCCTGAACTCATGGATTTTAATATGTACACGATAGGCACAGAAATAAATGTAATGTGTATGTATGTTACTATACATACATACATACATATATCTATATATATATCTATATATATTCTAGCTCTGTCTGCTGAGAAGGCCTAGAAAAAAATAACACTTCAGTAGCAGTGAACATACTTAGTGCCTAGATCTTGGCTTCCAAAGACCATTTTTCTAGTAAAAGGAATCAAAGTTCCATGTAGAAGTGGTTGATTCCAGGGTGAGGACAGGGAAAACACAAGATAAGCCTAAAGTATCTTGTGGTGCCAACAAAAAAGGAAGTGTCCAAAATAGGACAGAAGCATGCTGAAAAAACAAAGGAGCCAACGTGATAGGTTTCCCAATAGACAAAATTGAAATGATCTGAGTAACCAAGTAAACAACAATAGTAAATTATAACCCATAAAATAAATATCAATGAGCTCATACTAAATAAAACAATTGTATAAGTGAATGAATACATGCATATATACATACACACATAGATGAAGTAGAAAGGACTGTCTTCCTTCTAGAAGAATTTCAATTAATAAATATAGAAGAAATGAAGGAAACACAAAAATCACCATTAGACAAATATAACATTGATAACCGTTGCAGGCAAGAGCCACCAATGGATGTTAACCTTAATGGGTGACAGTTTAAAGAGAAACAAAATATTTTCTTAGCTTCAGGGTATCTCCTGAAAGACAAGGAGAAGGAAAAACAGCAACTTTACAATGGAGAAACCCAGCACACACCCTTAACCAAGTGATTGAAGTTAACAGCAGTAATTATGTCCTTCTTGTTAGGATATACTGAGAAGGGCACAGTATCATGTCTAAATAGCACTCTTACCAAAAATGCATAACCTTAAGCAAGGGGGAGAAAACATCAGAAAACCCAAAACGAGAGACAATTCTACAAAATACCTGACCAGTTCTCTTCAAAAATGGCAAGATCATAAAAGACAAGGAAAGACTAAAGAAATGTCACAGCCTGGAGGAGACTAAAGAGATGTAATAAATGCAGTATGAAATGATGGACTGAGTCCTGGGACAGAGAAAGAACATTAGTGGAAAAAACTGGTGATATTCTCATCGGGTCTGTGGTTTAGTTCATGGTATTTAATGGCACGAACCAATGCTAATTTTCTAGTTTTGATAATTATACTATGCTTATGTAAAATATTAACACTGGGAAAAGTTGGGTGAAGGGTATTCAGAAAACTCTGCACTATTTTTGCAACTTTTCCATGTCAAATATTTTAAAACTAAGTAATCTGTTTTAAATGGGCCACTGATTTTGTAAAACTCTGCATATGTGTCTAACATTCATATTTGGCAGTTCCATCTAAAATGTATATGATTGTACAGTGGACTGCAATACAATTTAAACACTTTTTAGGAAACACATCTTATTTGTCTCTAATTTGTTGGGAAATACACCATGGTACTTTTTCCTTATGCTTTCTCAAGATGACACCCTGAATATTTGTTTCTCTTATTTTCTCTTTGAAATCTGAACTGTTATTATAGGAGGAATACTAATTCTATCTGTCTCATGCAGAATCTAAGTCTCTGTAATCTTTCTCAAAATGTTAATTCCAACTCTTACATTTCTTCCAACTACATTTCCCTCTGTTTTCTTGAAGCCAAAACTCTGACCAAATTTTTGTTGGTTAATAACTGATTACAACCTCTTATCAGTTCAAAATGCCACCATCAAATGTGGCTTTTAAGAACTCACTTTGACGACTTCACTTTTTCCCCTCATATCTTTGTCATCCATATCATATTCAAACTCCTGTTATTGATTTTCAGGACCTTTGTAAGTCTATTCCTACATTTATCAAGCTCCCTCAGTATCTTCCTAACATTCTCTTTCCCCTTGCTAAATCCACTCATTCAGATATTTATTTCATTAACTTTCACAATTTCAGCAATGCCTAAGGCCTTGGGGGTGGGTGTTGTAGGATATGTGAAATATACATATTTATCTTTTCTTATCTAACCCTTTCATTTACAAATCTGCCCAGTAAATCCTTTTACTTGAAATGTTATAATCCCCAAATTCATACTTTTATCAACCCCACTATATTGAAAAAACTGCTTAAGTAGCCTGAAGAGGATATTCACTTTTATATTAAAAATCAGCAAATTATTTTTACAAAAAGACAAAGTAAAAGAAAGGGAGAAAAAGTAAAATAAAATGTAGACCATTAAAAAGAAAAGCACAGGTATAAGTGTATCACTGCTTTAGGATCAGAGCTACTAAAAGGCAAGTAACCAGTTCTTGTATCTTCTAAATAATCCAGAATACAATGGTCCTTACAACTGTCAAAGTGGAAGTCAAGCTTTCAAAAATTGCCAGAGAGCTGCCTTAGTTAAGGTTAATAATAGTTAAATGCTATTCTTAAGAGGTGATTTTGGAAGAAGCCCACGGTTTACCTCCCTCACCCCAGTAATTTACCCAGGATCCCACCAGAGTATATAAAGAATAGCCTCAGTACAGGGGATTCATGTACTGCCCTGCTCACCAGGTCAGCCGGACACACAGAATAAATACTGTGGGCAGTTTTGGTATTTGTGATGAGGTTCAGCTGGACCTAATATTTATCCCATCTCAGATGGAGCTCTTTGTCATTTATACTACAGAATGCTGAGTAAAGAGACATTGCAATTCCCACCTGTTGATTTTCCTTGAAAATCTGGATTAATAATTCTTTCAATTTCCTTTTTCTTTCTTTTGCCATTTTTTCCTCATCCAGAAGAATGTGAGTATTTTGAAACACGACTTTTTCTGAACTATTTTGAGAATTCTCTTCTTGTCTTTTCTTCTCTCTAACAATTAAAAAATGCATATATTTATAATAAAATTAACGATGAGCAATTACAACCTACTGCAGTAGAAAAAACACTGAATTTTCCTTCAGAATACACAAATTTTTAGATTTGGTTCTAAAATTACATAGTAGGGTAATTTTTTTGGAGCTTCTTTTCTTTCTTTATAAAATACAGATTAAATGAAATAAAATTGTTATAAAGTACCTTGAAAAGTAGAAAGTATTATAGATACTTTAGTATTTTTATTGAGTTGAACACTGAGCCATACTTTGATCAAAATTTGAGAGTTAACAACTGCTAGGTAGTCTGTAATACAGACATAAATTCTCTCCCATATAACGGGAAAAAAGGATTCTCAAGTAAGAAAGGAATGACATTCTTACTAAAAGGCCTTTTACAAGGTTTCTTGAAAGAGGAATAACAAAAGAATCAGGTGTTACTCAATAAGGAGGGCATGGACTCTAGAATAATTTTGAAAAGAGAAAAAAACAGAACTTAAGAAGGAAAAGGCCTTTAGGCGAGTAACCAGAACTACCTTAGTAACTTCGTTGCTCATCTTTCTGGTCATTCTCTTTTTCGCTCACGTATCTATTCTTCCTCATCCAGGCCGTTCCTCTTTCGCTCACCAATTCAAACAAGCTCATAGCTATGGCCTTCTTATTGTACTGCATTTAACTGCACAGGTGTATGTATGTGTATAAAGTGTATGCTGCTAATGATGTGGTAAACATAGCACCTAGTCAGGAATCAGAATTCAAGAACTCTGGCCACAAACCAGCTAGTCACCTGGTCTTTCTGGAACTTTTACTTCACAGTTGTGGAAACTCAAATTCAGAAAGATGCCAGAATACCCTACAGATATTCTCTTGTTCATTCTCATATAGGATACAGAGGGTACACAGTGTTATGTTGCATTACTGGTGATGTTAACCTTCATCACTTGGTTAAGGTGGCTTCTCCATTACAGAATTCTTATTTTTCCCTTTGAAATTAATAAGAATCTTGAAAGATATAACTTTAAAACTAGGCAATGAAGCAGATTTAAGACAGCTTACAAATAGGTTTAAAAGACCTATCAATAATAAAAATTTCATTGACTTTTTCCAAACTATGAATGCTGTAACAATGTTATATTACATGGTTACAGAGACGGGATAGTGATTGTTAAAGAAATGCAGTTCTAATACCATGAATCTGATTTCCTAAAATAACTTTAGAATATATCTGTTTTTAAAGAAATATCTGCTCATTGTGAAAAACTGGAGAGGTATAAAAGCCATCCATATTTCTTTCTTTCTTTTTTTTTTGTTTTGGAGATGGAGTCTCACTCACTTTGTTGCTCAGGCTGGAATGCAGTGGCATGATCTTGGCTCACTGCAACCTCCACCTCCTGGGATCAGGTGATTCTCCTGCCTTAGCTTCCCAAGTAGCTGGGGTTACAGGTGTGTGCCACCACACCCATGAAAGCCATCCATATTTCTACCCAGAAAAAAATGTCAGTCCTGTTTCACTGTACAGCCATTATGTAGCAATTTCTCCAATATTTATGAACATCTATTATAAATAATGTTATTTAAATTATCTTTCTGCATAAATCTTTATCTGGATTTTTGACAATTTTCTTAGGGTGGTTTTCCTAAGGCTGTAATTCCTAGGTCAAGGGATAATACTATTTTATGGCTCTTGTTTGTTGCCAAATTGCTTTCTGGAAAGTTTAAACCAGTTCATCCACCTAGAAGTAGAACATATTATCTGTTTCACTGTAACCATGGATAAAATCTTAACTTTTAAAAGAAATGACTGGTCAGTGAACATTTGTTGAGTGCCCACAGTGAGCAGAGCATCCTACTACCATTAAATGTTACTTGTTTTCACAATTTATTTTAGGTCAACCTAGTTTTTCCAGGGCTTGGGAACAATCTGAAAAGCAAGGCTGACCTTAGAAAGAACTCAGTAGAACACCAGTGATTGCTTTCTGAAAGGAATGGCACCTGGAGGAGGCCTCAGCCTGGCACTTGAAGGAGTAAAGCACATGTCCACCGCTGAGCTGTTTTAAATTAGGTAGAATGAGAGCAATCAAGAACACAGAGGGGAAAGCTGTGTAGGCTGATGGGGGAGGAAAGGATTATTTAATAGGTCTTTGCGGCCTCTCAGTTTGAGTAGTCAGACACTTTAGTCACGTTGTTCCAAGACTTTTGCAGTTCCTGCATCAGTGCTGTTTCTCAGAATAAATACATTAGTTATTTCACTTATGAAGCTCATTTTCTGCATGAGGATGGATAACAGTACTACATCCTGTGAGGATTATTTTCATCTTCCTCTGATCTCAGATATTCTTTTTCTTTATCATGGCAGTAAGGCAGTGGTGACTTTCTGTATGATTATCAGAAAATAAGACACACAATTCACAACAGACTAAGACACAATTACTGAACATGTTCAACCTTACAAATATTATCTAACCAAAGAAATGCAAACTACTCAATATAATACCTATTAAAAGTGTAAAAATATTGAAAATGATTATACTCCCCAATGTTGAGAAAAGTAGTATAAACTGACCTGCTGCTGATAGGGTAAACAAATACAACCCATTTTGAAAGCAATTTGGCAATGTTTCAACAGTCAGAAAAAGACTTGTGTCATTTAACTCAGAAATTACACTCCTAAGAATTTTTCTAAGAATATAATTCAAAAGAGTGAAAAAGCTCTATGTTTAAATATGCTCACTGCAATATTATAATGCTGAAAAATCTGAAGTAGCTGAAATGTTTACCAGTATGGGGAGGTGGCCATTACATAAATTACGGTATAGAAACACGGTGGAGTAATATATACACCCCAGGACTCCAGGCAATGTGTTAATTACAACAAGTAGAATTACAAATTAAAAGTAATTTATGGTTATAATTAAGTATGTAAAGGGATCAAGACCAGGAGGAAACATGGAAAAATGAAATTAGTTAATTGGTTAAGATGGCAGAATAGTGAGTGATTTGTCTTTTGTGTTTTGTTATTGCAATGTTTGTGCACTTTAAAAACTTCAGAGCACTTCTAAAATGACTGCTTAAACAGAGAAACTCCACAGTGCTTATCATACTGGCTTACATTTTCCATGCTTCTTTCACAGTGCGTCTCCTCTCAATTATTTCCCTCCGAAGCTTCACCATCTCCTTTTGGATCTCCTCTTCCTCTTTCTTGGCCTCCAGAGCCTTCCTTTTCTTCTCTTCTTGCACCAGACACTGAGCCTCCAAGAAGGCCGATTTTTTCAGGGCCTTTTCTATTCTCTGGCACTCTAGTTCCTTCTCACGTCTTAAGCGATTTTCTTTTACCTTAAAGTAAATATAATAAAGATGAAGTATGGGCTTTCAAGTAGAAAGGGATCTGAAAAGCCTTACAACATATTCTGAAGTTCAGAATACAACCAGTTTGAAATATTCTGGCTGAGAACTCCACTGTTTATTGGTAGGATAAGGGGAATTCATCTGTTTACTGGGAAAAGGCCAGTATAAAATTTTAGATGAAATCAGATGAAGATGACTCAAACAATCTGGGAATGATCCACACCACAGAAAAGTTGAGAATCTAATGACTCAGAGATCCCAAGTTCTGGATTCTCATTTAGTAATGATTTCTCACCTGTAAGACTGTCCAAGGTGTACATTACTGCTTTTATTATACTTAGTTCCTGTCTGCATTCTAATTATAATTTAAGCAGAACAGAACTTTTTTGGACATTATATTGTGAATGATAGAACAGTGATTTACTGCCTTAAGGAATACCACAATCCTTCATTCATTTCTATTATTAGGTAAATATAGAAGTGATTCTGGATGATATTTGGAAATCAAAAACATGAACAAGCACATTCATTGTTTTTTAAACCTATTAATCCTTTAGAGGGCAAGAGTAGCTATGAATTAAGGAAAGGTCCTTTCCTTCCTGCTTCACCTAACTTTACCCTTATCTTATTCTCTAGTTGTGATAAGACTTCTGATAAGACTTCTGATAAGACTGCCAGACAATGACCATATATCTTATTGAATCTTCTCTCCTCCCTTTTGTCATAAATCCAAACTAGAATCATACTTCTACCCATTTCTCTAACATCCCCAGTGCTGATTACATATACCCTGATTGAATGATTTAAAGCAGTTATTTTCAAATTTGGCAATCAGAAATTCAGTGTTATGCAAAGATGGTAAACACACGTACAGATACTAATTCCGGTTCAGTCTTAGTTCTGGATTCCCTGGCACTCCTTTACAAAGTGTTGAGACACCAGTCTTTTTTGCAATAACCTACTATTCCCTTTGGAGAAAAGAAAGTTCTCACATGCTTTTCTAATTCAAAACAGCTGAACTTGATTCAATTCAGCTCTGTCTTCCATTTTAAATTATAATCACAAAATGAGTGAATTTCAGTTGTCTGGAAAGGAATTATCCTGTAACATTCTCCAGAATATTAATAATATTAATGTTACAATTTGAAAAATGAAACTCTAAGCACACGAAATCTAGGTGTTTTATAATAGGAAGTACCACATTCAAACTAATAAGGTTTATCTCAATATTCTTGGTCAAAATCAATCACCCTTTTCTGGGCTATTTCTTAAATAAATTGTTTCCTACCCTCAGTTTATGAGAATTATTTTTCTTCTGAAGTTCTTATATTTTATTTTTATTCTTCCTAACCAAACCACAGATGGCACCCTTTTTCATAATAAAGCCTATGTCTTTATTTAAGCTTATTAAATGTGTTACACAAAGACTGCTTCCTGTTATCCATTTTAATTTTGTTTTTCCCTCCCACCTGCTTATGTCTCATCTCCATGGTAAGACGAGGATCCTTCTGCTGCTTCTTGTCTTGGTTTTCCTTCCTTCCAAGATCTTCCATCATTGCAGAATCTACCACATTTTTATGGAGCAGATGGTTTATAAATTTTTGAACGGTGGTACTTTCCTCTTCCTCCTCCAAATAGCCACATAGATCTGGGGGAAACAGAACAACAAAAAAGGGAAATTAAAAAAAAAATTAATGTTAGTATAATATTCATATTTACATAAAGAATCCTAGTACAATAAAAATACAAAGCTGCAAGTGTTCAATAAATAGTAACTGATAATGCCAACTGGTTGAGTATAGCCCCCAGTAATTACTTCCAACTAAAAGTAAAAAGCTCCACTTACCAAGAATTGCCCTCACCCAACTCACTAAAGAGACCTTCACTGCCAAATCTAAAAGATTTCAATCTAAACAACCTTGGGAACTTCAATCTAAACAATCTTGAGAACTCTAGGGCTTAAAAAAAAAAAAGAAAAAGAAAGAAAGAAAAAAAGCTTTATTGTGGTATAATTGACACATAATAAACTACAAATATTTAAAGTCTACGATAAATTTTGATATATGCATACGCTAGTAAAACCATTACCACAGTCAAGATAATGAACATATCCATCGGCCCACAAAGGGTCCTCATGCTGATTTGTAATCTCTTCCTTTCAATCCTCCCTCTCCACTTTGTTCCAAGTAAGCACCACTATATATTAGTTTTCATTTTCCAGAATTTTATATAAATCATACACTTACATACATTGTATTCTTTTTCTGATCTAGCTTCTTTCACTCAGCACAAGTATTTTGAGATTCATTCATGTTGTGTGTATCAATAGTTTATCACCTTCTATTGCTGAGTAGTATTCTACAATATAAATATATCACAATTGGTTCATTCATTCGTTGATAGACATTTGAGTTGCTTCCAGGTTTTGGATGTTGCAAATAAAGCTGTCATGAACATTTGTGTACAGTGATCCCTCCATAGGGGATTGGTTCCACAACCTCCCGAGAACACCAAAATCCAAGGAGGTTCAAAAATCCGTAATATCAAATGGTGTAGCATTTGTATATAACCTATATCCATCCTCCCTTATACTGTAGATCATCTCTAGACTACTTATGATACCCAATACAATGTAAATGCTATGATAATACCTGTTATATGTATTGTTTAGGGAATAATGACAAGAACAAAGTGTACATGTACAGTAAAGATGGAATTATTTTTTCCCAAATATTTCTGATCCATGGTTTGTTTAGTCCACAAATGAACAGCTCACAGAACATAGGCTTTCTTTTCTGTCAGGAAAATGAGTGGGAGTGGAACGACTGGATCATATTATAGCTAACTGCTTACCTTTTCAAGAAACTATCAAACTGTTGTCCAAAGTAGTTACACAATTTTACATTCCCAGCAGCAGTGCAGAAGTGTTCCAATCCTTCCACATCCTTACCAATACTTGGTATGGTCACTCTTTCAAATTTAAGCCATTTTAAGATATGCAGAGGTAACTCACTGTAGTTTTAATTTGCACTTTTCTAATGACTAACGTTACTGAACATCTTCCTTGATTATGTTTTGTAGTTGTTCCAAAGATTATGGATAGTGGGGTATTGAAGTCTCTAACTACAGTCACGTGTCAGATAACACTTCCATCAACAATGGACCGTGTATACAAAGGTAGCCCCATAAGATTATAATGGAGCTGTAAAACTCCTATTGCCTAGTGATGTTGTAGCCATCATGTCAGAGCACAATGTATTACTCATGTGTTTGTGGTGATGCTGGTATAAACAAAACAACCACACTAACAGTCATATAAAAGTATAGCACATGTACCACATTTTCTTTATCTAGTTTATTACTGGTGGGCATTTGGGTTGATTCCATGTCTTTGCTATTGTGAATAGTGCACGCTGCAATGAACATACATGTGCATGTGTCTTTATAATAGAATGATTTCTATTCCTTTGAGTATATAGTCAGTAATGGGATTGCTGGGTCAAATGGAATTTCTGCTTCTAGATCTTTGAGGAATACTATGCAGCCATAAAAAGGAACAAGATCATGTCCTTTACAGAGATATGGATGAAGCTAGAAGCCATTATCCCCAGCAAACTAATGCAGAAAACACAAAACAATACTGAATTCTCACTTATAAGTGGAGCTGAATGATGAGAACACATGGACACATTGCAGGAAACAACACACACTGGGGCCTGTCATGGATGGCATGGGGAAGAAGAGCATCAGGAAGAATAGCTAATGGATGCTGGGCTTAATACCTAGGTTACGAGTTGGTCTGTGTAGCAAACCACCATGGCACATGTCTACCTATGTAACAAACCTACATATCCTGCACATGTATCCTGGACGTAAAATATAAGTTAAAATAAAATAGAGCACTCTCAAAAAATCTTAGAATATGACACAAAAAAAGATATCACATACAATTATATACAGTACATAATACTTGATAATGATAATAAATGACTATGTTAATGGTTTATGTAAATGCTATACTATACTTTTTATCATTAGAGTCTTTTCCTACTTCTTAGAAAAATAAAAAAGTTGGGCCAGACACAGTGGCTTGCACCTGTAATTCCAGCACTATGAGAAGCCGACATGGGAGGATTGCTTTAGCCCAGGAGTTCGAGACCAGCCTGAGAAGCAAAGCAAGACCCTGTCTCTATGAAAAGAGAAAAAAAACTGTCTGGGTGTGGTGGCACACACCTGTAGTTCCAGCTACTAGGGAGGCTGCGGCTGGAGGATTGCTTGAACCCAGGAGTTCAAGGCTGCAGTGAGCTATGATTATCACTGTATAACAGAGGGAGATCTTGTCTCAAACAACAACAACAAAAAGTTAACTGTGAAACAGCCTCAGGCAGGTCTTTTAGGGGGTATTCCAAAAGAGGGTAATAATTGTCACAGAAGATGACTGCTACATGCATGTTATAGTCCCTGAAGACCTTCTAGTGAGACAAGATGTAGAAAAGATGATAGTGATATTGATGATCCCGGCCCTGCGTAGGCCTAGGCTAATGTGTGTGTTTATGTCTTCATTTTTTAACAAGAAAAAAATTAAAATTTCAAAAATAGAAAAAGAGATATAGAACAAAAAAAAATTTTGTCCAGCTCTCCAATGTGTTTCAAGCTAAGTGTCACAAAAGAGTCAAAATGTTAGAAAAAATTAAAAATTTATAAAGAAGTATAAATACATTGAAGTATTCCAGTTCTTCCACATCCTTACCAATACTTGGTATGGTCAATTTATTATTGAAGAAAGAAAAATATGTTTTTATAAATTCAATGTATCCTAAGTATACAGCGTTTATAAAGTCTACAGTAGCGTATTATAATACCTAGGCCTTCACATTTACTTACAACTGCCCTCGTTTCCTGCCCTGCAAACCCCATTCATGGTATACCCTGTACAGGTGTACCATTTTTTACCTTTTATATACTGTACATTTGCTGTACCTTTTTGTGGTTGGATATGTTTAGGCACCCAAATACTTACCATTGTGTTACCATCGCCTGTAGTATTAAATAATATGCTGTACAGGTTTGTAGCCTAGGAGCAACAGTCTATCCCACACAGCCTAGTTGTGTAGTAGGCTCTGCCATCTAGGTTTGCACAAGTTCACTCTATAATGTTTGCACAATGACAAAATCACCTAATGATGCATTTCTCAGGACTTATTTCCTTCATTAAGCAACACATGATTGTTGTATTGTTGAATTCTATTTATCTCTTCAATTTTGTCAATTTTTGCTTCATCTACCTTGGGACACTTTTGGTGTATATATATTTATAATTGTTATGTTTTCGTGATAGACTGACCCTTTTATTGTTAGAAAATGCACTTTTTGTTTCTAGTAAAGATTTTTTCTTGAAACGTCTATTTTTGGGAAAATTAAAAATCAAAGAAATAAAAATAAAAGTCTCAGCCAGGCACAGTGGCTCATGCCTGTAATCCCAGCACTTTGGGAGGCTGAGGCAGGTGGATCACGAGGTCAAGAGATCAAGACCATGCTGGTCAACAGGGTGAAACCCTGTCCCTACTGAAAATATAAAAATTAGCTGGGCGTGGTGGCGCATGCCTGTAATCCCAGCTACTCAGGAGGCTGAGGCAGGAGAATTGCTTAAACCCAGAAGGCGGAAGTTGCAGTGAGCGAAGATCGTGCCACTGCACTCTAGCCTGGGTAACAAGAGCGAAACTCTGTCTCAAAAAAATAAATTTAAACAAAAAAGTGTATTTTTTCTGATATTAACAGAGCCACTGTAGCTCTCTTTTGGTTACTGTTTACATGGTATATCTTTTTCCATCCTTTTCCTTTCAACCTATTTGTACTTTAAATTGAACATATATCTCTTGTAGATAGCATATAGCTAAGTCATACATATTTTTTTCTTAAAAAAAATTTTTTTTCATTATTCCCTTCTTGAGTACCAATAAGTCATATATTTTTAAACCATTCTTCCAATCTATGCATTTGGAGTGGAGTGTTTAATTAAATGCATTTATATTTAATGTAATTCCTGATAAACCTTACACTTATCATTTTGGATTTGTTTTCCACATGTTTTATGTAAACGGCCTTTATCAAGTTGAAGAACTTCTCTTGTATTACTAGCTTGCTGAGAAGGAATATATTTTGTTAAGTGCTTTTTCTGTGTCTATTGAGATAATATGTTAATTAATATTTTTGGTAAATATTCTTTTTAATGGCTATGTAAGTATTTGTTCAATATTTCGTAAAAAAAAACACTCTACCAGCTTATGATGATTGAGGCCTGTTATGATACTAGATGATATCAACCAATCTAAGTAAAGGGACATAATTAGAACTATTAGCACTATATCAAAATAATAGTTTCATTAGATTCCATATATTTGCTTCAGAACAAATATGAAGTACTGAAGTACCAAGTGCTGAAGTACCACACTTTAATAATGACATTAATAAACTAGTAAATATCCAGAAGGCAGGAACAAGGATGATAAGACCTAGAAACCACGTGGTATAAAAAAATTGTTGAGAGTACCGGTGCTATTTAATCTGGAAACATAGAACTATATGAGTGGTTAAATATGGTAACAACTCCTACAAAAACAAGAACAGTTATTTTTTGTTGTATCATAGGGTAAAAAGTTATCGAAGACAAAATCCTAATTCTCCTAACTAAAGGAAACTTCTGTGGGGATTATAGCCTCAGAGGGGGTGAATGGACTCCTCCCAAAGTGCAGGCTCCCAATCCTGGGAGGTGTTCAGGCAGAAGATACATCACTGCAAATTAGGGACACTGCAGAATGATCTCTATCTGGGACGGGGAGGAGGGTAGATCAGACTATCAAGTCTTGACGGATTCTTTTAATTTTACAAGCTCATAGCTTTGTGATCCCCAAGCTGGGGATTTTGCAGAGTCCTAAACAAGGGAAATGATGTGAGATGAATTCACCAAAGGTATCTGAGTCATGCATGGGGAGCTGCCCCAGCATTACCATGACTATCCCTATGCTTAGGGAAAAAATACTCAGACCCTCAAGTGTGTTAGATAAACCCTCACACGTCAGCCATCTAACTTGTCTGACACCGGCTCTGTGCACAACTGTGAGTTTTGCCTCCTCTGGAAATAACCCCCACAAACTAGAAAAGTAATAACCTCCATTATAAGTAATAACTAACAGAGAAATAAGAAGCATTTTATAAATACAAAAATTACTTATGAGTACTTAAATGTACTCTCCATCAAAGTAAATAGTCCAATAATATATAAGGAAGAAGCACTTTGAAACAGCATTAATTGCTATTATAATCATAAGCAGAATTATAAATACAGTTTGCCCTCCCTATCCACAGATGCCATATTCTTGGATTCAACCAACCACAGGTCAAAAATATTTGAAAAAAAAAAAATTTTTTTAAATATAGTATAACAACTACATAGTATTTATACTGTATTACATATTATAAGTGGTCTAGAGATGCTTTAGAGTATACAGGAGGATATGCACAGGACTAGAGCATCTGAGAGGTTTGGTATCTGTGGGGGTTGGGCGGTCCTTGAACGTATTCCTCACAGATAGTAAGGGATGACTGTAATAGAATATTTTAATTTTAAAACACCATGAACTTACTGAAGATACAACATAAGAAATTTACATTCAATAAGGATAAATTAAAACCAATAATAAAACTAAACAAAACGCAGAAAAGTCAAATATATATCATTTGTTACTCAAAACAATTATAAAGACTTCTTACACACATTCATTAGATGTTAAAGCTTAGAATCAGATAAGTTCTTACCATCAAACTTGTCATACTTCAAATGGCCATTGGCTTCCGGCATAAGAGTGACACTGGACACAGTGTTTTTAGCATTGCCTTCTTCATCACTTGCTAATTCTTGCTTAAGTTTGGTGTCTAACCAGTCATTGACCAGCTCTTGAGCTACAATAAAAGAAAAACAAATTTTAAATATTTCAATTACTTCAGAGATTTTCTTCACTCACTGTTTCATTTATTCAATAAATACTGAGTACCTACTGTGTCAAGTACTGTTCTAGATGCTGGAATACAGGCAGTGAACAAAACTGGAAAAATAAGCCCTAGCATCATGAAGCTTACATTCCAACTAGGGAAGAGAGACAACAAATAAATAAGAGCAAAAGCAGGGACAGGAGGAAATGGAAGATGGGTGTTGTAGTTTTAAATTGGGAGGTTAAAGAAAGCTTCACTGGCCGGGCGCGGTGGCTCAAGCCTGTAATTCCAGCACTTTGGGAGGCCGAGGCGGGTGGATCACGAGGTTGAGAGATCGAGACCATCCTGGTCAACATGGTGAAACCCCGTCTCTACTAAAAATACAAAACATTAGCTGGGCGTGGTGGTGCGTGCCTGTAATCCCAGCTACTCAGGAGGCTGAGGCAGGAGAATTGCCTGAGCCCAGGAGGCGGAGGTTGCGTTGAGCCTGAGATCGTGCCATTGCACTCCAGCCTGGGTAACAAGAGCGAAACTCCGTCTCAAAAAAAAAAAAAAAAAAAGAAAGCTTCACTGAGAAAAAGATATTTGAGCAAAGAAGAGAAGGAAGTGAGATAAGTGAAGACCTATGAGGTGACAGTATTCTCTGCAGAGGGAAAGCAAATGCAAAGGTCCCGTGTAGGAGTATCCACAGTGAGGAGAAACAGTGAGGAGGCCAGCGTGGTCAAAGAGAAGTGAGTGAGGTGGAGACAGCAGGAGATGAGGTTGGAGGTAATATGCAGATCAGGTTTAGGGGAATGTTTGGGGCAATGGTTATCAACCAGGTGCAATCTTGCCCCCAGTGGACTTATGCCAATGTATAGAGCCATTTTGTGTTGTCATAACTGGGGGAAGTAATACTACCATTTAGGAGGTAGAGGCCAGGGATGCTGCTAAATATTCTGCGACTCACAGGACAGCCCCCACAAAAATTCTCTAGCCCAAAATGTCAATAGTCCTGAGGCTGAAATCCCCTTACTTAGAGTCCTGATACTATTCTAGCTACTTTGGCTTTGACTCTGAGTGCAATGGGAAGCCACAGGAGAGATGTGAGCAGAGAAGTAATATATTTTAAGAGAATCACTCTGACTATTAAGTTAAACTATAGGGGACAAGCAAAGAGGCAAGAACAGTAATTGGTAAACAAGTACAATAATCCAGGAGAGAGGAGATGGTGGCCTGGACCAGGGAGTGGAGGTATTAACAATGGTCAGATTCTAGAAAAGAATGTTTTGAGGTGGAGTTGACATGATTTGCCGATGGACTGGCATGTGGGACATGAGAAAAAGAAATCTATGAGGTTTTTGGCTTAAGCAACTTGCAAGGATGGTAATGCCATTTACTGAGATGGGGAAGGCCAAGGGAGCAGCAGGTTTGAGGAGGAGGATCAGGAGTTCAGTCCCAGACACGTTAGGTTTGTTTATGAGACATACAAACAGGGATGTCAAATATGGTACTTGGCTGTAATACTCTGGATTTCAGGGGACAGGTCCAAGCTGAATAAATAAATGTGGAAGTTTTCAGCACTCAGACTGTATTTAAAATCATAGAAATAGATGAAATTACCAAAAGAAGAAGGTAGAAAGAGAAGAGGTTCAAGGACTAAGTGCTGAGGAACTCCAGAATTTAGCGGATGAAGAGATAGGGTGGAACCAGGAAAGCTGACTAGGAGGGAGAGGCCATCAAGGCAGGAGGAAAATCAAAGACTGTGATATCCTGAAAGCCAACTTCCATTTAGATTTCTTAATGCTATTGAGAAAATCTCCTTAAATTATTTAGGTATAGGGGAAAGTGCCTGCTTTAGCATAACCATCATATTATGATTATTTGACAATAATGCTATTATTATCAGACGGCTCTTTTGTCTATTTTATCATTACCTTCATCATTATTATGATCATTATTGCATAGTTCTTGGGGAATGGGGTGCTTATACTAAATGATGCCAAGAGGCATTTAATATAGACAAAATAGGAAAAAATACAACAGAGTAATATAAACTAAGTGTTAAAAGCATACTAGCAACAAATACTATTGGCTTTCAGAGGAAGGTAGAGAAAGGGAGAAGGTATTTACTGAGTAGCCCTTGTGTACAATAACTCAAACATTTATGTGTATAATAATTTATATGCAAAACAATTTACACCTACTAAATGACATGTATTGGTAAATGGGGATTTATTATGAAGTACTCCCCCAAAACAAAGAAAACTTCCCCTGGAGGCATTAAACTGTAGAAATACCTTGTGTTAGATCACATGAGTATACAAACTACCTTAAAGCACAGATTTTCAAAGTATGTTCTTCAGAACACTACTTTTTGTAGAACATTAATATAGTTGATGAGAGGAGAAAAAAATGATATAAACCTTTGAAAACCATGTTCTATCCATTGGTGTTCCATCCATACACCAAATCATGTTCCTGATGTGAATCTAGTTTCTCAGGATAATATGCTGATTTCACGATAAAAAGAGGTTCATGGTATAGGCAGCATGGGAAATGGGCAAGTAAGCATTTCTTTTTAACTGCAGGACTTCTTAGAACCCTTAATAAGCTAAAGTATATTGTGTATCTCTATTGTCAGGGTGGGAAGTAGGGTGGGCAAGACCTGCCATGCCAATTTCAAAATCAATTTCCGTTCTCTAGCTCCAGTACTATCAACCACTCGCAGCCAGTCACCATTACTGCTCACCCAGACTGCTACAATAGCTCCCACTAGTTGCCCTACTTTACCTCCCAGATTCAAGTGATTCTCCTGCCTCAGCCTCCCAAGTAGCTGGGAATACAGGCATCCACCAATACACCCTGCTATATTCTTCATAAGTTTTATAAACTGTCATATTACATCTCTGCTTAAAACCCTCCAATTCTATCCTGTCATACTCAGAGTGAAATCTAAATTCTTTCCCCAGGCTTGGAAAGCCCTATGTGACATGCCTTCTCCTCACTCCTGCCAGCTTATCTCTGGGGGAAACTCCAGCCACATGGGTCTTCCTGCAGCACACCATGCCTGTCTGTACTTCATGCTCCCTTTACATCTGCCGGGATGCTGTCCCCCATCCCATTTTTCAGCTGATTCCTTGCTCCTCGCTGACTCAGGTCTGAACTTGAATGACTTTTACTACTGGATCACCACAAAATTTTCTTAATTCCCACATGAAAATGTGTATTTCATGAAAGTAAGGGCTTTGTCTCTCGTTTATAAACAGTACTTCCAGTATCTAAAATAGTACCTAGCACAGAATATATGTGTGTTGAATAAATGAAGAAATAAATGGAGTAACTGGAGACATAAGTAATTCAAAGGGAAGCTGGTTTGTAGGACATCACACTCTTGACTTTCCATCTACCACAGTGGCCTTCCCTTCTCAGCCTCCTTTGCTGTTCCTTCCTGATTCCTTCCACCCCTAAATGGCAAGAGTTCCTCAGGGCACCAGTAACAAAAATACCAAATTCCAGAAGAGTAAAGGCTTCTGGAACACAGGAAGATTAGACTGTTTTTAGGGTCTCTTTATCAAGAATAAAACTGATTTATAGACTGTGGTAAAATTATCTGTGTAATATCTGATCAAATTAACAACCTACCATCTTTGTCACAGGACTAATATCTTACAACATTCACCACTTAGCTGTGTATCAAACTACATCTGGATGTGGTTCTAATTTGGGAAACAAAATGGGGCTTAAGTATATCCTTACTTGTAATATTGAAGTTAATTCCAGACTAAAATAGCTTCAGGGCAGTAGAAAGAAACGGAAATTAAGAACGAGTAAGAAAAGCTTCCCTTTTCTACTTTGAAATGCATCATGGGTTATGCTTTAAGAATTAGCAACATCACAGCAAAAAAACAAATTCTCTTACCTTCTGCATAGATTTCATCGTGATCCTCTATTTGCTCAGATGTTTCTAAATCTGTGATTTGGCCCCAGGGACTTCTGAGTAAATCAGAATTTCTAGTAAAAAATGCATTTGACACTGCAAATTCTGAGGCCTTCTCCACTCTCTTCAATATAACAGAAAAAAAAAATCCATTAAGATGACAACAAATTTGTTCAGAGAGAATTTCTCTCCTATTCAAGAATCTGATTTTCTACCAACTACTAAGATTCATTCATTTTTCCATTTTTGGAGAAGCTCTGAGGTTTAAACATCTACCCCCAAATATTTTGGGGGGGTTCATATATAATATTAAATTAATTGCAGTATTTTACCAAGTTCTAACAGGTGTTCACAATTTTGATATTTGAACAAAAGGTTATTAAGCTTTAGATAACTTTTGTTTAGGGCATTAGTGATAGGATCCTGCGACATGGATATTTTATTTTAAATAAAAAATTTTATATTTTATTAGTTTTCATGCCCTTAGGGCTTGCATATAAATATGAGCCAGAGGCAGAGTAACCACACTTCAGCAAATTAGTACTCCTGAAGGAAACCTCCCATCTTATATTTGGCAATCATATATTAGGTTCAATAAAATTGGGATAAACAGAGTCACTGAATTGTAGCCATCTAGAATGTTTTAACTTAACAGCAAGAGTCTAGTAAAAACATGATCAAATTTGCAAGATTGGGGAAAGAAATAGCAGAAGTGGGCAAACTGCCTTAGCATTTTTGTTTACCTGCACAGAGATTAAAAACACTTACTTTAGGCTGGGTGCAATGGCTCATGCCTGTAATCCCAGCATTCTGGGAGGCCAAAATGGGAGGACTGACTAAGAGTTTGAGACCAGCCTGGGCAACACAGTGAGACCCCATCTCTAGTTAAAAAATTAGCTGGGTGTGGTTGTGCACACCTATAGTCCTAGCTACTTCAGAGGCTGGGCTTGAGTCCAGAGGGTTGGGACTGCAGTGAGCTGTGTTCATGCCACTGCACTCCTGCCTGGGTGACAAAGCTAGACCCTGTCTCAAAATAAATACATTAAATTAAATAAATTTTAAAGCTGGGCATGGTGGCTCATGCTGTAATCCTAGCACTCTAGGAGGCTGAGACAGGTGAATTATCTGAGGTCAGGAGTTTGAAACCAGCCTAGCTAACATGGTGAATCCCTGTCTCTACTAAAAATATAAAAATTAGCCAGGTGTGGTGGCATGCACCTGTAATCTCAGCTACTTGGGAGGCTGAGGCATGAGAATCACTTGAACCTGGGAGGTGCAGGTTGCAATGAGCCATGATCATGCCACTGTACTCCAGCCCCGGTGACAGAGCAAGACTCTGTCACAAAAGAAAAAAAAAATGTTCAAACTTATTTTACAACTTAACCCCTAACTTTCCCCTCCCAAAAAACCTTTCCCCCCAATTGCTGTGTTTCTTCCAACTCAGGTAGTTGACAACTTCATTCTTTCAGTTCCTAAGGATGAAAACTTTGGAGTCCTTAATCCAATCTCTCTCTCTCTTACCACACATATAATTGATCAGGAAATCTGTTGACTCTATCTTCAAAATATATAATCTGACCACTTCCCATCACCTCCATTGCTACCACCTTGGTCCAAGGCACAATAATTTCCTGACAGGTTTTCTGGAATAGCTTCTCACCACAGCAGTGAATGACTCCTTTAAAACGAAAGCTGCATCATGTCATAACTCTACTTGAAAGCCTTCAATGGCTCCTGATGTCAATCAGAATTAACGTCAAAGTCTTTACAACATGCTTCCAGGTCCTACCACGTGGCCCTTTGTGAGCTTTCCAAGCCCCTTGCTACTCTTCCCTTAGCTTATTCTACTTCAGCCACACGGACCTCCTTGCTTGTTCCTCCTCAAATACACTCAGGGTGTTCCCACCTCATGGCCTTTGTACTTGCTTCTCCTCTGCCTGAACTGCTGTCCTGTAGGATACCCACAGGCCTCCTTCCCTCACCTCCTCAAGCCTTTGCTCAAATGTCACCTTCCCAGTAAGGTCTTCCGCGCCCACCCTATATGAAATGTAAACACTCTCCTCCAGCTCTCCTTCTCTCCCTCCTCTGCTTTGATTGTCTCTACAGTACTTACCATCTTATCATATATTTAATCACTTATTGTCTCCCTCAGGTAGAATGTTGGCAAGGATTCTCGTCTTTTTCTCAAGGAGAACCAAGTACTAAGAATAATGCTTGGCACTTAACAGGTGTCCAATAAATACTTGTTAAAGGAATGAACACATGAAAACTTTATTCAAAAAAGCTGCACTTTCCAATATTTATATTGTCACCTGACCTATTTTGAAAATGGCTTTTCCTCTTGCCTTTTGTGGAAAGACTGGTAGAACCTCTGCCAAAACTTGCCATGGGCTTTTTGACCCAAATTCTTGTGGGTTTCATATATTAGCTTTAAGCGAGAAGAAGCAGAGGAATAAAGTTGAAAAGTGAAGGGTAATTTGAAAAAGATGTGGAAAACAGAACATACAGGCAAAGATATGAGCCAGAAAAAAAATGATCTCATTGGAGTCAAGAAAATATCATTCACTCCTTACGGAGTCACTTAGTAGACACCTATATTCTGATATTATTTCTGATCACCTCTGACGCATTCAAGTTTATGTTGGTAGCATACATCATTTATTAGCTTTATGGTTGGTACATAGACTTTCCTTCAGGTTCTTAAATTCTGAGATAGAAAGATAAATTTTGCATATACTGTATGTGTTTAGATATGCACATGTGTAAATAATATACAAACAAATTGATCAACTTCAGTGCAGTGTTTTAAATACCTACAAACAAAAAATTAACAACAAAAACAGATTTGTAGACTTGACTTAGTTCCTCAGGCTATGGGTGAAAGAAATAATTATGTATTATGTGTCATCCTACCTGAGTTGGAATTTGTACAGGTTCTTAACAGAGGAGGGTAGAGAGGTTGGGAGAGAGGTGGAGAAAGATTGAAGGATAAAGAAGGAGACAGCCTGGTAGCCTGGTACCGACAAGGAAATAAAGAGAAATGTTTGCTTGGCTTTAACAAGCAACTATTTGGGATATCACTTAAAATGAAGATTTGAGGAGAAAAAAACTACTAGATGATACTAAGGACTATACATAATCTCTGTATTTGTTTGTCTTAAAATATTACATTCTTAATTTTTTTTTTCAAAGTAAGTATCTAAGACATAGGAGAAGGCCATCCTATATTTAAGTAATTTTAATTACTTAAATTTAAATTTTGTCAATTTAAAGACTTACTCTTTCGGCAAGTCTTGACTGAATGCTAGCTCTGTTCCCAGCACTGGAGTGGGCATTAAGTGGAAAAAAAAGTAAAATTTTCTCTTCTTAAAAAGCTCACTTTTTTATTTTTGGTTCCCTGTATCATGTGTGCAATAAACAACTCAAGGACAGTTCTGAAGCAACACAGGGTGATTAAAAAAAAAAAAAACTGAACACCTTCAAAAGTGTATCATAGTAACTATACTATATATAAACATATTACTTGTAAAGGAACTATCCCAGTTATTCCCATGATCTTTAAATGCTCAATATGTGTTACTTTGTGTCCCACAGCGCACTTCAATTTCATGGTCCACTCTAGATCCTTAGCCTCTATCAGCATGGATGGCAGAGACAGCAGTTACAATGTAATCCTTCATTTCCTCAAAACCAGTGGATACAAACACGAGCTTCTTGACATACTGAATGCTCATATATAATAAATAGTTCTGTGAGTAATTTTTTAAACTACCCATTTTAAATCACTTTTATAAAGGCAAATGCTTGATGCCTTATCTGTGTATATAAATGTCAAAATAATTCCAAGCAAAAGAGTAGTACAAGCTGGGATTAGGAGGTTGAGGTAGGTAAGGGGGATTTGTCCACTTAGATAGGCATCTCGAGTTGAGCTGCAAGGGAAGGATCTGGATTGGCCTCTTAGAGCAGACGAGTATTCCAGAGGGATCACTATGAGTCAAAGCAAAGGGAACATCTGTCTGATGGAGGGGAAGGAGACTGGCCTGACGGGAGTCACAGAGTATCAGTATAGGGACTGCTATAGGTAAACTGATGGATTGCTAGAGGGCTTTAAATACTCACGTAGAATTTATAGAGTTTCATCTGATGGCACATAGAATAACTGAAGATTCAACAGTAGAGAAGGCCAGGTGCAGTGGCTTATGTCTTTAATCCCAGCACTCTGGGAGGCTAAGGCAGGCTGATCACAAGGTCAGGAATTCAAGACCAGCCTGGCCAACATGACATGGTGAAACCCTATCTCTACTAAAAATACAAAAATTAGCCGGGCATGGAGGCAGGTGCCTGTAATCGCAGCTACTCAGGAGGCTGAGGCAAGAGAACAGCTTGAACCCAGGAGATGAAGGTTGCAGTGAGCCAAGATTGTGCCACTGCACTCCAGCCTGGCAACAGATCGAGACTCCATCTCAAAAAAAAAAAAAAAAAAAAAAAAAAAAGACTAGAGAAATTATTTGATTAAAATGTTTAGAAAGCTCAATCAAGTTACAGAATGCACTGGGGTAAGATGAGTCAGCCTATCCCATCGGGATAAGGATAATTTGTAAAGCATGGTGGATTGCTGCATTTTGAGTGAGTTGCTGCAGGACTTAGAGTTTAACCCAACCATCTCCCTGATTCTAGGTGATTTCAATGTCCCTGAGGATGAATCACCAACATTTCAGCCTGGAGATTTGCTTGTTCTTCTGTATTCTAACAGCTTTCCCCTCAATTCCACTTTAGCAACTTACTGACATGGTGACCCTGAACCATGTCACAAAGCACGGTTCACAGCATTTTCCATTGCTCAAACCAAACTGATACCCACTTCTCTAACATCAACCTCCTATCCATCTCCCTGTCGCATTCTCCCTACTCCTATGACATTGATGTTGGACCTAACCAAGTCTTCTGGTCACTGTATGCTTCCCTCTTCTAACTTGAGTCCTTGAAAGGGTCCCTTCCTTTCCTGTTCAGTGTGGATATCCAGCTACTATCTTACTGCATCCTCAAACCCCTTGTTCCTTGACTGTTCTGGTGAAAACCTCCAAGTCTGGAACAATCTGATCTACAATTTTTGGTACTATAAAAAGTTATGGGGTGGGCATGGTGGCTCAGACTGCTTGAGCCTAGGAGTTTGCGACTTGGCAACATAGTGAGACCCCATCTCTATTTAAAATATTTTTTAAAATTTAAAAAAATATGGTCCACTGCTTCAGCCAGGTCCCCAGTGCTACTGAGAAATCTTCCTTTTCTCTTCTGAAGACAGGCCTTTCTTAATTTTCACTATGCTTCACACCCTTTCCATATATTCCCCCCTCCTTTCACATAAAGGTCTCAGCTGATTTTGAAAGGGTGGTCCACTCAAGTAGATTTCGCAGTCTTAGGTCTAGAGGTTGTAACTGTTTAGGGGACACCCAGAGTTAGGAATGAAATCAGAAAAGAAGACAGAGAAGTGAACATGGAAGTCGTAGAAGCAGCAGGAAAAAAAAAAAAAAAAAAAAGAGTTACAAAAAGACCATGAAGGAGAAGATTTCTAGAGTAAAGAAGTCGTAACTATATCAAATGTACCTGAAAAAGTTTGCTGACTATCGAAAGACTACTGGGTTTGTTCAAGAAATCATTTATGACAACAGTTTCTGTGGAATGGTAAGAAATAAGGATGCAAGAGAATAACTGTGGGTACAAGAGGACAATAAAAATACACCAAGGATCCAAAACATTACATAAGAAAAAGAAACCGTTCAGGAATCAGAATAGATTGCAGGGTCAAATAAGGACTTACTGATTTTTTTCAAGACAGGAGATTTGATGACATAATGGAGAAAGAGCCACTACAGAAATTTTAGAGGAATGATAAAAATCAGAGTCAAGCTGGCTGAAAACTACACGAAAGAGGACAATCTCGTAGACAAGTCAGAGCAAAATTTTATCTTCCTGTTCTAGTTAAATCTTTGCCTCTGAAGAGGTGGTACCTAACTGTGTGACTAAGCCCTGCGGGGACTTGGCACTGGGACTCTCAACACTCACACGCAAGCTAGTCTTGCTAGATATTGAAGAGTGGTCTTCCTAGAGGCTAGCATTCATGATGGTGGGTCCACTTTAGTCATCTTCTAAGTTAGGCTTTCTGCAGTAGCCAGAAAGCTTTCTTTGACCCCATCTAAATTAGTGCCTCTCACCACGTACTTCCATTACATCTTTAATTCTCCCCCTTCACTGAATCCTCAAACATACTGTTCATTAACCTAATATTAAGTGACCATTCAGAGTCCATTAAAATAGCTGCAGTGGTAGAGAAAACATCTCTATGAGAATGCCCAGTCCACTTTGGATGGCTCTAGTCATTAGAAACTTATGTGTGATGCACACGTAGCTTTTACCCATTAGTCCCTTTAATTGTTACCCATTACGTAACAATTAGTCATTGTAACTACATTGCAGTTTTTCTAACATTTGAGGAAGGCCACCATATCCTCTCCCAAGGCTTCTTTTCCCTACTCTTTTAATTCTCTTCATGTGATACTCATGGCATTTGAAATGATGTCTACACACCTGTTTTCTTGTCATTCATACTTAAATGGTTTCACCAGAGGCAACAGAATTATAAAAACAATACTAAAAAGTATAAAATTAAGACCACTTACACAGTTATACAGGAATAAAAATAGTAGGGTATGTGCAAAGTGGAGATCTATTCCTATTTCTTTTCCATCTGATTATGGTTGAGTCTTAATTCTCTTTTTATTCTAAATTTAAAATATCCTTACCTTTATCCAGTGCTCCACACTGTCAGGACCAACAGCAGGCTGTAGATAACACATATAGGATATTAATATGCAGCAATATCTTTACCAACTTCACCATTTAAATCTGTCTTTCTGACTAAAGCATAAAGTGACCTTTATTATTTCCCCAAAGCATTTCATTAGAAATGATTAGCAATAAATGACACAGAATAGCATTATGAGGGAAGAACTTGAAGCCTTCCTGGGACACTGTCTGACTGTTTTTATTTCTTACGTAGGCCCACCATGAAATTGTGATTTAATTGGTCTGGGATAGGACCCTGGCATTGGTATTTTTTTTAAAGCTCCTTAGGGTTAAGAGTCAAGATAAAGAAATGCTAAATATAAAGCTACTCATTAAAAAAGGCACTTATTAGCCAGATTATCCAAGTCATCTTCAGCTTGAAGAAGTGTATGTTCCTCTCCTTTGTCCTTTCATAAGTAGCCTGTAGCAACAGGCTTTCTCATCTTACCTAGAAAAGGGATAGTTTGGTCCAATAAAAACCAGAGAGTGGGGTGAGGGTTAATCAATCTGACTTCTACTGTTTTACAAAGCAGAAAATATAAATTTCCACCCAGATCAGTCAGGTATTAATCTGAAATTAGAAATAACACCATCTGGGCACTTCCTTTCTTCACTCTCTGTAACTCCCAGAAGCTTGCAGAATTCCCTCTGAAAGTCACTTAACAAGTAAGAGTTTTCTTCTTTGCTAAAAATTCAGATGTGTTTTTAAAATAAGGGGATATCCTGATGATATGTCATTGGAGCACTAAATCTCTTTTGGTGTTCCCAGTTCATGAATTGCTTCTTACTCAAGTATGTTTTTTTTTCACTTTTTTTTTTTTTTTTTTTTGAGACGGAGTTTCGCTCTTGTTACCTAGGCTGGAGTGCAATGGCACGATCTCGGCTCACCGCAACCTCCGCCTCCTGGGTTCAGGCAATTCTCCTGCCTCAGCCTCCTGAGCAGCTGGGATTACAGGCACATGCCACCATGCCCAGCTAGTTTTTTGTACTTTTAGTAGAGACGGGGTTTCACCATGTTGACCAGGATGGTCTCGATCTCTTAACCTCGCGATCCACCCGCCTCGGCCTCCCAAAGTGCTGGGATTACAGGCGTGAGCCACCGCGCCCGGCCCTCAAGTATGTTCTTTAAAATAATAATAATAATAAAATAAGGGGTATCTAAACTAGCATACTGACACATGAAGGTGGGAAAAATATAATACTCTTTCACTTACCTAACGCTTTACCTTCAAAGCATCTTACTGTTAACTAATTAACACAGCTGTAATAATTTTGTAACTGCAACAAAGAAACAGCTGATCCAATTAAAACAAACTGAACCTGAAGGAGCCCCAGGTTTTTACCTTTCTTCCTCTAGGCAGTAATAATGAGCACTAGCAGCAAAAAGCCTTCCCTTTGGAGTCCTAAGAAATTGTTCTAAATTTTTATCTTTCATCAAGTCCATATCCATAACCCATTTTGGATCCAATCCATGATGCAACTGATATACTAAAATAACACCAGCCTCAGTTTCCAAGTCTCCCTAATGCTCCAGTCTATGCCCTCCAGTATCTGGGGCAATATATTTATCACATGGAATATGTCCAATGCATTTAGCTGGTAAATTTAGAATAAATAGCAAGAACAATTGCCTGGGGCCCTCACAAAGGTCACATACATCTACAGAATGTTATTTAGGAAAGTGTAACTTAAGGGTGAAAACAGCTGGTGAAAGTGCTCTGGAGCCAAAAGCTGAGAACCTTCTCCATTTTAGTACTCTTATTTAAAGCATTTATTTTTGCGACTGTTAAAAAGGTAGTCTGTGGAAAGTACACACGCTGCGATTGTGACTTTGCACATATCACATGGTTCAAGTTCAAAATGGGGTTATGAGTTTTTTCTTATCTTCAGGTGCTAATACATCCAAATGGTGACAGATATGGAGAGAATCTATTTTTTGAATGTTGGTTGAATTTAGAAATTTCTATGTGAATCAAATATTAATATATTCAATATTCACTTGCACTCCTGAGTTCATTTTAGATACTCTACGTAAAAGTGGATGGGCAGGAATATATGCAGGGTATTTAACGTGAAGATTTCTCCCGTTAATAAAGATCAGTTTCCCCAAGATTTGCAAAAAAAGAGAAAAAGAAAGAAATGTGCGAGAAGTTTCCTAAAATTTAAAGTAGCAGGAACACGGAGTTTGCAAACTCCTTTCACACTGATGGGCACCAGTAGACACCTCTGGTTTGAGAAAAGCGTTAGAAACAGTTCTTCCACGATGCTGCCCACCAAACCCGTAAAGTGCCCAGACCCCAGAGCTCCTAGAGAACTTCACTCAGGGCAATGCTGGCTTTGGGGCGGTCAAGGCAGGGGCATGTCAGCTAAGGGTGCCCCTCGGGGAAGAGGCAGGGGCATGTCAGCTAAGGGTACCCCTCGGGGAAGAGGCAGGAAGCACAGAGGGGCCGCGACTGGCTTCAAGACTGCGCCGCGCCTCGGGAAGGTCCCCGCCCTCCAAAGCTCCGGATTGGGATCACCTTGGGACTCGGCTTCCTTGTGAACAGTTTCCAGCGACTCAGCCTCATCCTCTTCTTTGGGGTGGGCCTTTCCTGGGGCGCCAGTAGCATTTTCCAAGCTCAAGCCCGAACCTTGGTCAAAGGTGCAACCACCGCTCTTCTGTCCAGGCTGCCTCCTGGTCGCGCTGATAATTGTTGTTCCTCCGCCCCAAGGAAAGCAGGCGTAGGACGCCGTCGAACCACGGCTCCCAAGAGGCTCTGCGCAGGCCGCTAGCGTTGGCTCAATTACCATAGCAACAGCCGCGGTCCCTTGCTTTTGTAGTCATCAAGGCTCGCTTTAACATCCGCTTTGCTTTTTTTTTTCTGGCGCCCAGTGATGACGCAGTACTCCCTGATTGGCTCTGCTCTGGAGGCAGTGGTTTGGGGCAGAGAATTCTGCAAGCCTAACACGTGGTAGTGAACTGTGAGGAGTTTGAGGGATCTGAAGACTTTTAAAAGAGTTGAATGGTTTGGCGGTAAGTGCCCCTTAGCCCTGCTGGTGTGGGAGCTGCTAGAGATGAATGAGTCGCATCGCGCCCAGACGCTTCCTGGTTGAGTTGTAGTAACGGTGATTGTACTCCCGCCATGTCTCTCCTTTCCTTTACTGGGTCGCCTTGCGGATCTTGGCTTCTTTAAGTTCGGATTCTCATAAATCGTGTGAGCGTCGCCGACACCTCTGAGATAAAAGGGCCCCTTTCGACCAGCCTCTGCTCAAGGGTAGATTCCTCAGTCGAAAGTTTTTATTCCGAACTGCTCATGGGAGGGTGAGACCATCTTCAATCTCCGAGCTAGGTGCCTAGGGAGGTCTGGGGCTATAGAGATGGCCCATGGAGCAAAGATGCATCCAGCCTTATTGGCTGAGCCGAGATGTTTCCGAAGACAGCCCATTGAGGTGTGCTAAATGGGTTTACAAAGCAGAGTAAAGATTTAAAACAGGAGTTTTGGATTCAGCTACTTTGTGGCTATATGACCTTAAGCAACTTGTTTAATAACTCGGAGACCCTGTTTTCTCGTTAGCAAACTAGAGACGATAATACCTGAATCACTGGAGTGTTGTAGTAATTAAAAATAAGTGTATGCAAAGCATTCTGCCAGGAAATGTAAACTAAAGTTGACTTGCAATTGGTGAAAATGAGGTTAGGGAACCTGTGCCCTCAAACTGTTACAGCGATCCTAGGACCAGCTCTGTAAGTGGTCTATCTGAAAGGTGGTTGAATAAATTGTGTTCATACAAACTATGCAGTATCACGAAGTAGTTCTTTCAAAAGGGTAAATTAGCTTTATGTCTCTTCTTCAGGAAAGAGGTCTAATGTTTGTTCTTGAGAGAAAAGCAAATTCCAGAGAAGTGCATATATTAATACTATAGTATGTTTTTATTTTTGTAAAAGCACTCCCTCCCATATACAAGTATGTTTAAATGTTTGTATGAGAATGGAGAAAGATTGCAGATTCTGAGAGGATGGATTAGAGGTGAGAGGGAGAAAGGGAAAAAAGCCAGAACACTATAGCAAAATGGAAACTATGATTGTAATGTGTTTATGGACCAAATGGAACTTCTAAGCTTCCAGCCTATTAGAGTACAGCATTGAAAGCTAGCCTTCAATAATTGAAGTCCTACCTCTGCCAGTTACCAGCTGGTGATTTTATCAGCCTCAGTTTCCCCAGCCATAAAAATGCAGATAGTAGTAGCATCTATATTATGCATTTGATATGAGGATTAATGGAGTGAATATGTAAAGAACAGTGCTTAATACGCAGTAAATACCCATTAAATGTTAGTTGCTATTGTTATGTCTTTCTGTATGTGAAATTAATTTAACTTTTATTGTGATTACTGACATTTGGACTTCCACCATCTTATTTGATGTTTTCTATTTCTTTTTTTTTTTTTAGTCTCTTTTTCTTTCTTGCCTTTTATTAATTTTTCTTTATCTTCCCACTTCTCTCTCCAGAGAGTTTGGAAATTATGCATTCTGTCACTAATCGTTTTTAACAGTTACTTCTGAATTTTTAACACCCACACACTTAGCAAAGTTTAACCTCATTCAGTATCTTTTTCCCCCTACCAAATGGTGTAAGGATTTCCAAATGCCTTGGAAGAGTCTTCAGTTATTGTTTTCTAGAAGTGTAGCATTCTTCATTTCTTTTTTCTTTTTCTTTTTCTTTCTTTTTTTTTTTTTTTTTTTTTTTTGTTATTGTTGTTGAGATGGAGTCTTACTCTGTTACCCAGTCTGGAGTGCAGGGGCACAGTTGGCTCACTGCCTTCTGGGTTCAAGCGATTCTCCTGTCTCAGCTGCCAGAGTAGCTGGGATTACAGGCACGTGCCACCATGCCTGGCTGATTTTTGTATTTCTAGTAGAGGTGGGGTTTCACCATGTTGGCCAGGCTGGTCTCGAACTCCTGACCTCAGGTGGTCCGCCGACCTCGGCCTCCCAGAGTGCTGGGATTACAGGCGTGAGCCACTGCGTCTGGCCAGTGTTCTTCATTTCTATGTGTCATTTCTCAGTCAGCTCAGTACACCACATTGTTTAAAAGTACTTTCATTATTTTGCCCACTCTGGTCTTGAACTCCTGGGCTCAAGTGATCTGCCCATGTTGGCCTCCGAAACTGCTGGGATTATAGGCATGAACCAACGTGCCCAACCAAAGGCTTCCTTCTTTTTATGACTTTCCACAGTGTGTTTTAGGGGAAAAAAACAAAAAGGTGTTTCATAGATTTCACATACACTTTTAAAAATCTTGTTCTTTAAGTGCCCATGGTATGCTGCAAGATATTCTAAAAAAATAAAAATCTGAATACATCTCCTAGCGTGTTCAATTTACTCTCACTTAAAAGGCATAATTGGCTAGGTGCGGTGGCTCACACCTGTAATCCCAGCACTTTGGGAGGTCAAGGCAGGATCATTTGAGCCCAGGAGTTTGAGACCAGCCTGGGCAACGTTGTGAGACCCCATCTTGACAAAAAAATTTTTAAATTAATCAGGTGTGGTATTTGGGCACCTTTAGTCTCAGCTACTTAGGAGACTGAGGTGGGAGGATCAATTGAGCCTGGGATGTCAAGGCTACAGTGAGCCATAATTGCACCACTGCACTCCAGCCTGGGCAGTAGAGTGAGACCTTGTCTCAAAAAAAAAAAAAAAAAAGACACAATAAAAAGAGTACAGGCTTCTTTGCAGGAGACCTGGGTTCTAGACAAGCCTCTGACTAAGCAGGCCTGGTCTCAGACTTGTTACAATAAAACGGCAGAAGGGGTGATGGTGGTGAGGTGGTGATGAGGAATTTCCAGGTAGGAGCCTCTGGTAGTAATGGAACTCTATAAACTATTTTTAGCATTTCTAAAGTCTAATGGCAATTGTATAATACTGGGATATTAAGCACAGGTTTACTAAAGAAATGGAGTTTGTTGTTTTTACCTGGAATTGAGTTAACACAGTATGGAAAAGCAGATTTTCACATGCTCATCTGAAGCTTTGGTTGTCAGTCGTTCATGTCATTTATTAATAAACTGGAGAAATGAAAGCATGGGTTTGATGGGGAGAGATTTAAAAAGTTAATAAATTCTAAAATTCTACACTTCATTTTTCAAACATACTAGTTTTACCCAATGAAAGTTCTTCATAATGAAGGCTCTTCATACCTTTATGTGAATTTAATTTAAAAAACACAGTTCACATGTGTACATTTAAACTCTACACAGCTCAGATGAAAGAGTATTTTTGGAGGAGCCAGCAAGTTCTTGTCTCTAGCCCTTTCTGAAACAGCTCCAGGCAATACAGTTTCTTCTGTTCTCAGATGTATGTGAGAATAGGAAATGCTTACGTTACTACAGCATTTAAAAATTCTGGTCCATTAAATTTTCATTAGTTCTTATTTATGTTTCAAGAAATCTAGTGTTCCATATTGGTTGATTTCAGTATTCAGACAGAACAACAGGTGTTGATTCATTACGCTTTGGAGTGCATGTCTCATCTTTGTGCTTCCCCTGCTTCAGTTCTCCAGAGCTGCTTAGATTACAGAATGCTGTCTTCAACTTCGTGTTAGAGCTCTGATGGTTTAGAATATAAAATATATTTTTATCACTTGAAATCAGTATTACCTGATAAATAGGTAAGCAATATAATTCTTATATTTTCTAGAATATATTTTTATTAGCTTAGAAGGGTAGTTTCACAATTTTTTTAAATGAACCTTCTTGTTTTAGCAGTTTAAATGTGTAACAACAGGGTTTGTAAAAAAAAAAAAATAGCTTTTATGCCATTTATTAAAATGTAACATTTTTCCCTTACCAGTCTCCATTTCTGTGAGTTCTAATGACATTTATTTTTATGTTTCTATCTTTGTGATAATTTGAAAGAATGATGTTATAGTTATAGAAAATTGAACAGGCTTTTATCAAACATATATTAGTTTTTAAAATTTGTGTCTAGCATAAAATCTCTTCTTAGACCTTATAGAAAGTAGTTATTATGTCTAATATTCTAATGACAGAGATGGCTATTTTATTTAAATATAAGAATTTATGTCCTCTAAAAAAGTAATGTTTTCATTCTTGAATATATTTAACTAATGATAGGTAAGTCTTACGTATTTGGTGACATTTTAACAATGGTTGGCTTTCAGAGTATGGTTAAGAAAATGGGATCTGGCCAGGCACAGTAGCCCACTCCTATTATCCCAGCACTTTTTATCCCAAGGCAGGCGCATCACCTGAGGTTAGGAGTTTGAGACGAGCCTGGCCAACGTGGTGAAACTCCATCTCTACTAAAAATATAAAAATTAGCTGGGCATGGCGGCACACACCTGTAATTCTAACTATTTGGGAGGCTGAGGCAGGAGAATCTCTTAAACCCAGAGGCGGAGGTTGCAGTGAGGTGACATCGTGCCATTGCACTCCAGTCTGGGTGACAGAGCTCCGTGTCAAAGAAAAAAGAAAAGAGAAGAAAGCGAGATCTAAGGTTGGAGTCTCTCTGATAGCTCATTCATCAGCTAATACAACTGGGCCTAGCCCAGTTTTCAAGAATGCCAGAAGGTATGGTACTTGCTGTAGAGATGTAATGAAGTGTTTGTAAAATGTTGGTATGTCTGGTGACATTTAGCAGATGATTTTATGTGCTTATCAAGTTCTGTAGTGCATTTTAAAACTGGAACCTGATATTTTGCTTCACTGAATACTAAATCATTTAGGAACAGCCAACAAATAATTAATAATGTTTTTTGATTTTTTTTCCCT